CTCAAACAGGCAGTTATTTCTGCCCAATTCGAACTTGTAGGTATATTGCATACATGGAGTGTCAGGGCATGACTCCATGCCACTCCGTCGCCAAGGAACACATCCAGTTCCTTTAAGACGTCCTTGGCCTTTGGCATCCTCCGTGCCTGGGGCCAGCGAACACGAGCCGCTCAGACACGACCCTGAGAGGTTCCAGGGAATCAGGGTTCATGAGGGAAAAAGCCGCGACCTCTACCATGTTATTGAAAAAAATGCAGTGATTGTGCTAGCACATCTCATGTTTTAACATGCCTGCAACAGTGCCCAGCACACATGGCAAGTGCAAAAACAATGTTCATACCATTATATATAACTACCATATTTCAGGTGTGTGGCCTGTAGTTAGGGCCCGTTCAGTTCTTTGATCTGAACACAACCCCAGGTTTGAAAAATGCTACGCTTTTTGTTGCAGGTGTCATGTTCAAGGATACATTGGCATTAACGTCTTGTTTTTCTTCGCTTTGACCAACACTGTTAGCGTTCTTTTCTGGGCCAAAACGGAACCACTTAACAAGTAATGTAGGCAGTTGATCACATAAATAAATAAACCTACCCCTCTGGCATGATAAAAGGCTCTTCAATATATGAGTTATATATCATCAGCAGTCTACATTACATCTCTCTCCTTCTCCCCTCTCTTGCCCAGGAGCGTTGTGAAGCTCACTCTTGGAAATCCTCAGACTTTGTGAAAGAGAGGCGTCTCAACTCGCTACTCCACTAACGTTCGAGCGTGACTCTGACTTTGTGGGTGTTATGGCGTGTTTGTGGTGCAAGTCTCAATGGCACTGGTGTGCAGTTTTCTGGACACCTCGAGCAAGGCTTAGCCTGTCTCCCCTGTTAAGGGAATAGATGTAGACACAAAGACAGGGGAAGAAACCACAACTAGCCCTGTATATATGTCCATATATGTCATTTATTTTTATTTTTAGATAGCAAGTGCTTTTCACTCAACAAAAACTCCGTCTGACCCTCTTTCGATTGTTCAGCTTCTGACTGGATCTCTCCAGTTGTGGGGGAAAGGCCCATTCTTCTGGGGGCTTTGGAATGCAATCGCGCAACACATGAAGAATACTATGGGATCACTTCAAAAAGGGAGTTCGGAAAGACATCAAGATCCCAGAACCGTGAGCAAGAATCAGGAAAATGATTTAGAAAACACCGACAATACCTACAAAAAGTTCAAGCGGCCCGACTTACACACAAGGAGAAAGCTTCTACAACCATGTCGTTTTCTTTCAAGCAAGCTCGCTAAGCCCAACCCTTGATTGGCAATAACACCTCTAAATGGGCTTTCTGACTTTGCTCCCACCAGTCACACCTCCCGTATAAGCTTAAGCTACAAAGCCTAGACCTATTTCGGTGGCCGTTTCTGACACAAAACGATCGCTTATATCTCTACCCTTACCTGCCCCCCTTTGCTCAGGTCTAAAGCCCAGGTTCTGACTGTTCTGATCTGTGTCCAACTCAATCAAGAGTTCTCGCAAGTTCCGCTTCCTTGCAGGCTCAAGGAAGGAAGAGAAGCACCTTTTAGTTGAAACAAACATATTGCTCAATTCAGTTCTTAAATAACTATACTAGAAACAACGTGAAATAATGACTATCTGCATATATATATATGTATATGTTATATTAATAGAGTCGTTTAAATGTACATATATATACCAGGACCATCCAATGGGTGTCCAATGGACTACCCTACACTGCGTGTAGGATCTCCATTGGACACCCATTGGATGGTCCAGGTATCCATATATATACACACTATACCCAAACACTCCATGGGACTGCCATATGACTGCCAATCAGTTTGGGTGGTGGTTTCGTTTTTTTTTTACAACATTGTAATCACAACATCAACAACAACATAGTTCGAGCAGTATACTGACTTGAAAACAGAAAAGGGTGCATTTATACCTGGACCCTCCGACCCGACAGGGGTGTCCTGGCTGGACTGCCCCACACTACCGGGCCGTTCGGCTTCCACCGGTGGACGGCTCTAGGGGAACCTATCCAGGTCCCATCTTCGGTGGATGGCTCCACAAAGCGGTTTCACCCAAGCCCCACCAAGAGAGGTTGAAGGACCTCATAGACGATCCCAGTTCGGTACCCCAGAATGGTTCTAGTTCAGGTCACTGAACCTCTCTTGGCAAGGAAAGCCATTCCCCAAGATCCCCAAGTTCCACCCACCAGTGACAGCATGCTATTGCTTGGGGCTATCCCATTACCTGGGCCCAGTGGATGATGATGGTTAGTAAATGTTAGTAAAGGTCTTGTCCAAAAAATCCAAAAAGAGTGGTGTGCTTTTTTACTGACTGTTGCAGGCAACAGGCTATTATGCAAGTTAAGCTTCAAGTAGTCCACTGCCGTGTTCTTCTCATCCTTTTGCTTCACTTCCGAGACCACCTGCGCGCGCCCGGCACCGCAAACCCAGGCTCCAGGCTCCGCGACCAGCGTCGAGCCATGCCGGACCCCGTCGAAGCAGGTCGCAAAGGACCGACACTAGGGACACCAGGGATCATCTCAGACGCTTCCTGTCTGGGTGTCCTGTCTGGTGACTGGCCTAGGGCCTAAGTAGTGTGGGGTTGTCCAGCCTGGTCACCCTGAACGGAAGCAGGTCTGCATGGTTTAAGGCCGGACGGAGTCGTTACTCCTGAACTGCCAGGTTTCACTTGTGCTGTGCCACTTGTGGCCGTGCCTAGATTCCAATGTTGTCGTCATTCTATCGTGTGACTGTGTAAAACAACTCTGATATCCTCAGATTAAGGATCTCCATGGATACCCCACAACACAGGGCTAGGGGCGATTCCCAGCTCAGTAGGAAGATGAAGGAAGTATAGGACACGTCGTTTCTCGCTCGATTCCGACCTGGGTCTCTCCGATTTGCGAAACCCGGACCTCTTCGCCCCCTAGAATTATAGGTGTTCAGCGCTTTTCTGGACATGGATCAACTGTTGAAGTAGGAAGATTTCTGGGTTTGCCACTCTCTCCCCCAGCCAGGCCGCCCTCCCAGAAAACCCCAAGGCTGCAAGATGGTCGAAGAGCAGGCCACAGTCCCGGGTCACATCCGTGGCCGATTGGCCGATTGGCCTCACAAACCACGCCAATGAGCATGTTCATCACCTCAACACGCCCAAACGCGCTTCTCGCGCGTGACCAGGTTTGCCTTGGAGGCCAACAGAATGGGCCGAGAATGGACATGTGTGGGGTCAGCCAACCAGGGTTAAGTTACACTCCCGAAAACTAACATGGACCCTGAGAATGGCACCCTCCAAGACTGTTTTTCTCTACAAACCAGTTTTCAGGGTCATGTTAGTTTTCAGTGTTCAGAAGCTTCCCAGGTTGTGACCCCGCACTCTAGCGCCGCGAGGGTTAATGAGGGAAACCCTAAGTCGTTGAAAGCCGCTGGGCTTTGGATCCGCGGGCAATGCGGGAATCCACCTGGCAAACAGTTCGAACAAAAATGCTCTCCCGGTCTGAAGAACTGCTTGGAATCTTGCCTGGGAAACACGGACTGCAAAAGAATGACCAAAAAAGAAACCACCAGCTGCTTCCGTTCGGGGTGACCAGGCTGGACAACCCCACACTGCTTAGGAAAGTCTGGGTGCGCTAGGGATTTGCACTGTCTCAGTGTCCTCGGTCTCGGGTACGTTCTGGACCGTTGATTCGCAGAAACAGCAGGAACTCCGTGCGTCTCGGCCCGTCTCGGCCGTCCAAAGGCTGGAAGATCAGTGCCAAGCCCTGGATGTTGCAGGGAAGGTCAAGCCTGGATGTTAGACCGTGCGCACACGTGGCAAACTACCAGGTTCTCACTACCAGTCTCTCATGAATCTGTTTCGCACTCCTGACCCATCAACCTGCCGAGAGGCTGTGATGTTCGTGAGCAAGACATAGAAGCAAAAAATGATGATCATTGACCAGCCCAGGGTCCAGTCATGACCTCCGCTCGAGCCCAGAGAGCCCATCCAAGCTCACAAACACAGCATATATGATGACTCTGAAGACTTTTCCAAATGCAAATAGCTTCATGATGTTGCAACTCTTTCACTGCTTCCCCCCAAAGAAAAACAAACAACTACAATGAAGACTTACCAACATGGTAAATACTGGAGAGAGTAAACATGATATTAAAATCGATGATCATATTTATTTGGATTGATTCCCAAATTTGATTTTGGAGGAGGGATTGCAATTGTTGTTGTTAACGTTTGTATTTATTGTTTTGTTTTGAGGTGTCTTGGCTTGTCACCTAAGCGATTATGACAAATCACAGATACAGGACACTCTATAGGTCAGACTGTGGCTGTGAGAGGCCAGAAAAAGGTGCGTGCGAGCGAACCAAGAGAGAGTAGTTACTTCAACTTTCATGGTCACAAGCTATCATCCAGGGCTGAAATCATTTTGGTCACGTCAGGGGTGGGGCAGTGTTAGGGCCCCACCTTGGTGCTGGGGCCCGGGTCCACCTCAATCCAAGGCGAGCAACAGCTGGGGTTTGAACAACGCCTCTGGGCAACCCGAGCTCCGAATCGCGACCGGATGGGTTCGACCCGGACTTGGAGTGTCCCAGGGCCGGCTGTTTGGTCCTGCCAGTGCTTCTGGGACGAGCTTCTAGACGTCCTCGGACTCGGCCCCACCTTGTGTTTCCAGAGCTCGAACTTCTTCCAAGATATCAGAGATGCCATCCTTGGAGCGAGCGGGATGCCATCCCTTGTCAATTCCACTGGAGATCTTAGGTGAGAACTTCTTGAAACATCTGGGACGTTCTGGGACCAGCAGTTTCATGCAAACATGTAGATAGATTGTGATAGGTTCCCACATTCATGCCTACCTCCTGAGGAACAAACCAAAAGACCCACACCAGGCGCACCAGGTCTACCTTCTTCATCCAGGTTTCCAGCAGGGTGCCATGCAGCAGCAAACTCCACATGGACAAACCCAACGTGGAGAACTTCTGCACGATGACCCTCAGTGCGGCGCAGTTGGCATCGGAAGCGGACGGACGGACACAGGATGCCAAGCGCCACCTGGCAAACAAAAACTAGACGAGTGTCAGTGTGCAAGTGTCAGTGTCGAAGTGTCAGTGTTCAAAGGATTTTCCGGAAGAACCCTTCGCAATGCTTTCGGGAAAAACCATGAAAACAACAGCTGAGTGAATATTGCACCGCTATAGATGCAATGGGTCGTAAGGAACAAATGTTAGGGCCACAATCAACAATTCAACGCTGGGAGTGGCTCCCCAACGTCGGATGGTACATCGAAGACAAAGAGTCGATCCTGATCTTGCACTTGCCACCATTCCTGAATTGGATGTTTAGCACCATTTCGTCACGAAATGGAGAGAACAACAAAAACCGAGGGGAGTGGATTTGAGTTCTTGGCCGACCTTGGGCAACATAGAGGAGTCAGTGCCAGGTATATTGTATACTCCCTGAATTGACAGACCAAGTGCTGTAATTGCTACACCTGGGAAGGTCCACATGGACCCCCAAAACCCTATGGACCTTTGGACACTCCAAACCGAGAAGGACGACCCGTTTCTTCTGGTCACACCGGCTGTCTGTCCGTAGAAAGAAGGCGTTTTGGGTCATCACAATCCCAATCGACGATCCAGGTGGCATAGGGAAATTGGAAGTGGTTTCGGAGTAGAAGGCGCCAATCTCATGGAGGTGGTCTGTATGGACCTTCCAAAGACCGCGGGGCTGCACCAAACCCACTCCGAAACCAAACCAAGGAAAAACAACATAAAACAACCATTCAGGCAGGGATTCGGTTCGTTACGCGCATGGGTCTCGGACCAAGCGTCTCTGAGGAAGTGACGTCGGAGAGGAACATGTTGATGACGATGGAAAAAACGTAGTTCATGCCAAGGATCAACCTGAATGTCTAAGAGTGCACACACCCGTTCCAAGAAGGGACACTTGGAATCACACTGCACTCTGCGGGGCAAAGTGGGTGCGCAAAGCACCTCAAAGATCTTTTTCTGCGCGCTTGCGCAAGCTGGCCGCAAGGTTCCACTTGTTTGAACATAAAAAAATCTCTAGGACACGCTGTTCATCTACTCTCGCGCAAACTAACATGGAACCTGAGAATTGACCGGTGGAAGACCATTTTCCTCTACAACCCAGTGGTTTTGGGGTTCCATGTTAATTTGTCATGGTGGCTTTGGAGAGACAACCTGTAAGCGGCACATGTCCTCGTTTGGCCCGCCGCCTCTCTAAAAGGATTATCATCTACGTCAAGATCTCAACTGTCTGCAGTCTGCAGGAACACGGTCCAAAACACTACGTACTTGAAATCAGAATACCCGAAAACTGCGGGAGTTGTGTATCGGCTCATTCTTTGAACCCTTCTAATTCTAAGAACCCTTTAAGAATCTTTAAGGTGATTACACACAGTGGCCAACTCCTCTAGAAGGACTTAAACAAGCGATAGGGACACCGCAACTGATATTGAGCAAGTGAATCTTAATTATCTTAACGGTTACTTATATAACCAGATTTTCCAGCTAGAACATAGCAAACTCAAGCACATCTTCAAGCTCCCGTAAAACCCCCTTGGAATGCCTTGCTTTTGCTGCCTGATGTTGCCTCCTAGCAGCATCAGGGCAGAGGTCACTGCGCGTGAGGCCGCCCGCATGCCGTTCACCAGGGTCAACAGCTCCTGACGACCGGGGTCAGGTCTCTGAGGCTTGGCTGTCTGGCTGTATGGTGCCCAAAATCCTTGCAAATCCCCCTTAGAATTTCAAGGTGAACTTGGATGGACCATTCTCTACTTAGAAAAAACGGGGCATTCACTTTAGTCTAGTAAATGGTCATGGCCAGGTAAAAACACTCTCTAGAAAATGCTAGGCATTCGAGAATATATATAAATATTAGACCTTACGTTGATGAAATGTTGCCTCTCTAGGGAATGGTATGAGACGAATGTAAAATAAAAAATGCATTTTCTAGAGGTGCATGGGAAAGGGATTTTTGACCCAGATTCCTCGATGGCCGAATATTTAAGTAACCATTTCCTAGAGATTTTCAGTCATCCATGAAAATTATGAAAAACATCAAGCAACCAATTTCTAGAGCGGCAGATCTTGTACAATATTGCAAAATCGATTCCAATCATATGCAATCAGCATCTATCAGCTTTGACATGCACAGACATACACGACACAGCAAACATCAGCAAACTATAGCAAACTTTTTTCCACCCAATCTTGGCTTCCGAATCCTTCCGAGTTTTTTTCAGGACAATCATTTTGATTGTCTGGTTTCATCAGCGCTTTGCCAAACAGCAGAATTGGTCAAACAGCAGACTGTCTAATCCATTAAAAAACCTGCTTTATAGAAAATGGTGGGGTTCCAGCAATGTATGGGGACATGCCTCACTAGAAAATGACCCCCTTTCTACGGAACCCGGGTTGAACCATTTCCTAGAGGAAATTCTAAGGGGGATCCTTGCAAGCTTTGGGACATTGGAAGACCAACGGACCAAATATTGACATGTTTCAAGATGGCACGTACGGCTACCAGTACTTGTTCGGGCTCTTTTCGGGCGCCTGTCCCTGTGCAAAGGTTCAAGAACCATCTTTCCGTCGAATCAGGTTTCAGACCTCCAACGCCTACCATGCCATGCCCAGCGTCCCCAAACTCGGAAGTGTCACATAAATGTCCCACCCACCCTCTTCCCCCAGACTCGCTCCGGAAGAGATCGCAAGATCCTGACCAAACGAGAGAGCCTGGCAGAATGAGCGCAGGAGATGAGCGCAGCGTTTCAGGCGCGGTTTTGGCACCAAATTGGTCCCCCAAAACAAATTTGGGCATATAGAGCCCTGTTTGGGTTCTAGATCTCATGAAAGGAATCAGACCGGTTTGAGTGCCTTCCCCGGCACCAAGTTCCAAAGACAGAATATTTGGCTAGCAGCTAGGCATGTGAGATTGAAGCCTTCAGGTTGTGGAGCAGAATGCACATATTCCAGAAGACTGGCGGATCCAGAAAAACGGATGGATCACATCAAGCATTTGGATTCATAGGGATACCTCCCAATGGAACATGGGAGATAGACCATCGGGCCCAGGCCCGCAATGAGCCTGAGGGTCTTGTCCACCTTTGGTGCGTTCAATCCCTGCCCTGCGAGGTGGTCACACCAAACAAACACACAATGGTACCAAATCCTGCACCGATACGCTGGTTGCAACATGATGCAAAGGCCTTTGAAGCAGGACTTTGTCCCATGAAGCGGTAGTTACGTCATGTTACGTCATGACGTGTCGTGACGTTTTGCCTGTTGTTCTTCCTTGTTTTACCTGTGGCTTCTTCATTTTTCGTACTTCTTGACATTCCTTGACTGATGGAAGGGTCCCTATAGGAGTATCCTCCCACTGGTCCAGCATCGCTAAAGGACCAGCCTCAAGAGCCGCAGCAGGCGCAAAGGCCCAGTGGGGAGGCTGTTGCCACTCTCCGCAGCGCCAGCGATGAGGAGGCCAATGCTGAGGAGCCAAGTCTCGAAGACCATCAACATCACCTCACCATCTCCAAACTTGCACCCTGCCCCCCAACGAACATCAACCTCTGAACCGGACTCTACGATACTCGTCACTACCTTTAAAATAGAAGTTGTGGCCTACCAAATCTCCCAGCTGTTGCAGTCCGAGTTCCAGTTCCAAGATCTTTCAACTACGATTCACACAAACAACTGGGTCACCCGTGGGCCACCGGTACACCGCCTCGAACGCGTGGTCGTCTTCGCTCATAATGGCGGCTTCAGTCGACTTCCGACCCACCCAGGCACTAAGATGGTGTCGAAGACAAACCACGCGTCCCGCAAGCAGTTCCGCTTGTTCTCGAAGGCCATGAAGCGCACCGCCAACTCAAACCTCGCGAAGCCCGCCGACCCACCGCGGGACGGAGACGACGACAGGTCCGGACCTTGGGAGCCTGCAGGGCCGGTCCTACATCCTATGTGTGGGGTTCAAGCCGCAGATACTGTAGGCAAGACATGGCAAGACTAACACATGGAATCGTCCGAATCCTACAGTATCTTGTAGGGCCAGCATGGTGAAGCATGGGGCCAGCCATGGCAAAAGGTATGTGGAGCGTTGGGGGTGCCATTCTTCCCGATAAGAATGACATGCAAAATCCAACATCATCATAACACGAGGCGATGCGCAAAGCAAAGCATCCGTTGCGGTGAGATCGGTCGCCGGTCGAAAAGACTCCCGTTCCAAATCCTGTGGGCGAACGGCGCAGGCTTGCCGGCTTGCCCCAAAGAAAACGTTGAACCAGGAGTTTCGGGCATAAATGAGAAAGTCCATCCCTTGGGAGAGAACATCCTTCTTTGGGTAGAGAATGTGTCTTTTTTGAGCTTTTAAGATTCCCTTGGGTCACTTCGACTTCAATTCGCACAGCTAAATCTAAGCTGACTGGCGGGCAGAATCTCTGGACACACCAACTGCCGTAAGAATCCACCTGACAGTTGCAAAAAAGAACGCACGTGTCTGGGTTCACCCACCCATGCCATGTCCTTTTTGGCTGATCCACCCATGTCACCCCCAAAACCGCTGAAACCGAGCTGCTGGCACAGCAAAAACTACGAGCCTAAAAAAGGCGCGCCTAGGGATCGAATGCCCCACTGCTTATATAGTTCTGTAGCTGCCAGAAAAGCCGTTTTTCCCCAGATGGCCGCAGGTCCCGGGGATGACATCATGTCATGCCAGGAATGACGAACCTATGGACCCGCTATCTGGGGAGTCTATGCCGGTGTCATTTTGGAAGAATAGCTCTGAAACTCTGAAACCCTGGGATAATCGTCGCCCTGATCAGCTGAGTCCGCCGAAAAGTTCCGCCACTGGTGATCGCGTAGAGTCGTCAACTCCAGCGCTGTCCGAACACAGCGATATAAGCGGATTAATTGGGTCCCTTGGTCGTCCTCCCCCACCCACCTGCGCCAACCCGTGGCCCCTACCCACTGCGCCGTGAGACGAGAAGAAGATGCAAAAGAGGTGGTCGAAGAGTTGGTAAGGCCAAGGTGATTCGATCCTGGACCCACTGACGCGTCTGACCCGATCACATCCGGATCGATCCGATGGTGCCGAACCGTGCCGAACGTGAAACCTCCATCATCCTCCATGGGATATCTGGGATGTTTAGGATGTTGGATGGGTGCTATTTGGAGTTCGTTTCGAATGAAAAGAAGCCGCTTCGCCTGAGATAAAGCCGGAAAACGTGTTCTCAGTCGATCTTGGGTGGGATGCCTGGCTAAGTCAAGTTGATGCTCCTTGTGACTCAAGGAGCTTGACAATGGGAACACGTGGGTCCGTATGAGAACTCCTTGCATACTATACACCCTTTCCACACCAACTCATCAATCACAGAGCTCATCACAGTTCTATGTTTCTTGCCACTCCTTCGAGAAAGAGGCTGCACGATGCTGCAGGCATGCAAATGTTAAACCAAAGCGTATATTATATAACAAGACTAGCCCGTCTTTACCCCCTCATAGATGTTTGATGATTTTTGCATCGTCATATCAGAAAGCGCAAAACACCGGGGATTCAAACCAAAGTTCGATAGGCCATTAAAACAAAAAAAACGCCCTTTCTTGCCAGTTCTTGTGCGTTCACTCCATGATTACGTATATGTTGTTACCTTCATGCTGGTGCTTCCATGGCTCAGGGTGGGTGCAGTATTGTTGTCGGCATCGATGCCAATGTAGATGGCATTGATGCCTCGGATCCACTGGCAGGACATCCACCGAAACAGACCCCGCGCGGCGGTCGCCACGGGCGACTCGGGGAAAGACCGGAGTGTCCACCAGTTGAGTGGGGTTTCACCCAGCCTCTAAGATAGATGGAAACAGGTGATCCACTGACATGCGTAGGCCGGATGAAGCAAATGGTGACCGGAAATCCTGTGTTGAGCAAGGACTGTCCAACGTCTCTCCTCCCAGATTGAGTTGGAAAGATCTAGAGGGCACCGAGGCTCTTGGTGGGAGAAAGCATGTAAAAGCCCTGGTTTTCCTGATTTTCCCCTAAATCCATTGACTCTCTCTCTGGCATATCGTCGCCTCACGTCGGACGTGAGTTCAGTGGGGCCTGTTGGTTCCATTGGTCTTTTCTTCTCCACCTGATTTGGGCAGTTCGGTTGATTCAGCTGAAGTGTATAAGGCACCTGTGAAGACGGGGTGGCACCTGTGAAACAGGTGACATGGTGTGTGGGACAGTCCCAAAATGCGAACATGGAACTCTTGCATACCCAGTTTGGCTACCCTAGAAAGACCCGTTCGTTTCTGGACCAGACCGCCTGCCGGGGGTACATGTTCAGGGTGCCAGCACCGTGCTAGTCACTTGCCGTGGCATTCCTAAAACATGATTCTTCCTGATTCTCCACCCATATTGTATAGTTACAGGTCAACGGCCTACAAGTACCGACAAACCGCACCTGCTTTCCTTGAGCCAAATCACGAGTGAAGTACAATGAATATGATACACTAGCATGCAACAACACCTATCTTTCACTTCCACCCACTTCCATGTGACTTCATTTTGGTCGAAGAAATCTATTCCTAAACACAGGAGTTCACAGGAGCTCCAGTCGTACCTCCTCAGAAGCTGGAACTGTTTTTTTTTTTTCTCCGGGGTCAGGCAGCACCTGGACACTCGGATGTCGCCCATCCCCGTCACTTCCATCTGCTCTTCCATCTTCATCCTGCGGATCGCGGTGCCGAGCTCTCCGCTCCGCTCGCGTCCGCGATCCGCGCGGAATCGAGTGGCTGATGATGAAGAGCGTGATCCGCTCGAAGCGCTCGGAGCGGGCCAACGCCTCGAAGCGTGGAAAGCCGGGGGTTGAACCGGCCTTCCAGGCCGAAAGGATGGGTGTGTTTTTCGGCGACGGATGGGACGTTGAATCATATTGACCACGATAGGCCAAAAGGTGTTTTGGGGGGATTGAGGTGAAAATACGTTCCTATACCCAGTAGCTAGCCTTCCAAAACCAGCAAACTCTTCGCCCCAAACTGGGAAGGTTTGGACAATGAAAGCTCTCCTCCCTGTTTGGGGCAGCATGTGAGTGTTTGCATCCTCCACCCCTGAACGGTTTTTAACGGCGCCAGTCTCCGTAGGAATCTTTTACGTGTGGTGTTTGGGGAAGCTGATCTGGGTAAACACCGCTGATCTGAGGCTGATCTGGCAAAGCCCCCAAAAGAACCGCTGATCGCCCCAAAAAGTGAAACATATCACGAGCAAAAAAATGTGCGTTGGCAACTTCCTCGCGCCTGCGCCCAGCCATGCCGCTTGTAGAAGTTCATCACGTCATACGCCTGAAAAGGCCAAAGGGCCACCGTATATCAAGCTGCCGCAAGAATGTTTGGACCCTCAAAAGCAGGGGTCCGGGTATATCCGATATATCCCATGACCAGTAACAATGGATGATGGTTATATATAGTAGGGGCGTTTCTTACGTGATAACCACTTCCATGATGATTTCAGGGAGTGTAGAACCATGTTCACTTTGGTGTCGCATGACCAGTTTCCTTTACAAACACGTGATCTATCCACTTCCATGGAAATTCACTGGAGTGTACCTTCCACATTCCTGGTTCCGACGGTCAGCTTGACCGTTCGGTTCAAATCTTCGCCTCCTCGTCGAGCTTCATCTCCTGAGGCTGTGGGAAGGTTCCCTAACACCCAAGTGGAAATGGGATGAACATGAAAACAATGACCGGCCTCGGAGCGAAGAGAAGAGGTGAACTGATTGTCGTTTGACAAATCATAGTATCTCTCTCTCTCTCTCCATCGCCTTCTCAAAGAGTTCAGCTAAGCTAAAGGCATAGTATGGGTGTACTAATTTACTGTTGTACCTTTCAATTCTAGTGGGTTAAGAGTAGATGGCACAATCCCCCAAAAGGTGGACCCCCATCTGAAAGGACATCTTGGGGTCTGTGCCATCGAGCCTCTGAAACCACTGTAGGGACTGTCTGAAGAAGGAATAGACCAGTCTACCGATGGATGGAGGTCTCCCTATTTCATGCACGGCGGAGAGGTGGATCCAACGTGGATCAAAAACACCCTGGCGTATCGAGTGAAACGGTGTACTGTTTCGGTAGGTCTTTGAGTGAAACTGCATGAAGCAGCTGAAGCAACAACACCACTGCTTCAATTGGGTTGGAGGGAACATCCGTAGGAAACCATCGTTTTCACCACCAAAAACTATGGGTGTCCTGTATAGATCTGCCCTCCGACATATTCCGGCACTCTTCTTGAAACTCTTTGACATTAGCATAGTTGCCTACATTGGGGGTGGTTTCATGGGTATATAAGCATATATATGACTTACATAGAGTGTCTGGGTCGATCTAAATCTCCAAGTCAAGCCGACGCACTTCCCCAAGTCCCCCTGCGCAAATCTCCCCACCCCCGAGGATGGTGTCGCCGGTTGGAGTCCTCCTGTTCGTCTTCACCGTAGAGTCCCGGCTTCTTCCTCCGGACCAAATGCGCCTCGCCAGGTGAACCAAGTCGAGCGCCAGCTTGTGCGGGAAACAAGCGATTGAAGAACGATGAAATGGGTTTTGAAATGCGTTAACAGCCAACCAAACCCATCGGATTTTGTTTGCGCCATGTTTTAACAGATGGTTTATACTGTCGTATCACTGTTTTTGTTTGCGCCATGTTTCTGGTTGCTTAGTACCATGAATCCACACAAGTACCATGCAGGTCAGTACCCTGGATGTACCTGCGTCGAATGATGCGACCACGGTGCGGCTCAAAACCGAAGAGCAACGAATCAACGAATCAGCAATGACTCCGGTTTAAACCCAGATCAAGAGGATGTGACAATTCCAATGGGGGGGTTATTCATCAAGAGTCGTCTACATGATTTAATGTCCTTTGGGCCATCTATACAATAAAGAGTAAGCCTGAATAGGAAATACTCCGGAGACCAAAACAGCCTGAAAAGCACATCAACTGTACACCACCTTTAGCATCCTTTAGCACAATTCCTTCCACTTCACTCAACCGTATCCACCGGTGAGATCCGCACATTCATACACCAGCATATATCGCTTAAAACACACCCGCGCTGAGTTCGGCTCACCCGCGCTGAAGCTGAAACCTGCAGCCTCCGGGACCAACAGCTCTCCGTGGCCTGTCGCTCGCTGCTTCTTTCGGGTTGCTGAAGAAAGTCTTGGACGCCCTCCTTGAAGCGCCTCGGTTCGGAGAAGAGACGAGACGAGAGGTCTACAAGAAGCGCCCAGGTCTGCCAGTGTCGTACCTGGGAACAAAAGCAATCCTATGGACTGTTGTAGAGCTCGAGGACAAGCTGTTGTGTCGCAAGTGTGCCTTCCTACCAGGGTCCAATGTGAGTTTGGAGTGTATGTCTTGTCCTGTCCGAATACGTGGGACTGGAACCTCTCTCTTCCTGTCACACCCCAGTGTGTGTCTAGGTTGGTATTTTTGTTCTATTTGTAGCAGAGGGTCAGTACGGAGTCCCCACTCTGGATCAAGGGGCAGGATGCTGTGACATCACCGTGTTGCATTTGGTATGTCTTTCGTCATTTGGGACAACCAGCGACCCCAATTCCAATAGTCCAGCGACCCCATAGTTCGACCCCACCACAAACCCCTTTTTCTCTTTTGGCAACCTGAAAAACATCGGGAACCTGGCGGTTTCTCCAAGATGGCCTGAGGATCATTGAACCATTGATGAACAAAACATGTTCTTGCCAAACATCCTCGATACTGACACTGCGTATGTGTTTGATACTGCATGTAGTGGAGAACACATGCACCTTTCCCTCTTTCTGCACCCCCCCCAAAAAAGGCAAACAACCTTGTGGATACCTAGGCTTCTTAGAGCCAAATGAGCCAACCGCAGCCGGCCAAGATGTTGGGTGGGTGTCAGGGTGGGTTCAGCAGCGGAGCGCTGAAGGCATCGAAGTTTGAGTCATCACGCTGAAGAATTGCTTAAGGCAATATATATAATATATATATAACCATGTCAATTCAAGGGGTGGTCCTACTGGAATTGCTTGGCCAGCTTGATGTGGCCCGCGCTGCAAATACTGGCCACTGGCTTGGTCCAGTGTGCAGAAGTTTGGACAACAAACAACAGCCATTCAAACTGGATCAAACTGGCTGTCTCATTCCTCCACCTCTGAACCTTGACTGTTGATGAATAAAAAACCCAAGTGCAAATGTAGAACCATGTAGAACCATTCTGGTATGGGGGCAATTGATGTAACGGCCAACATTGTGTAGTCGATTCAATTACTTTAGGACCGGCCCTTCTAAGCAAGGCGTACCCGTTTGAGCTCGTTCTATCAACCAACACGATGTTGTGCCTTTGGGGACGTCACCTCCAAAAAAGAACTGGTCACCCCAAAGAAGGGCATCATAGATTGGGTATGTCATATCATATTCCCTGCGCCCCAGTGGATGGTGATGGTTAGGTTGCAGGCCTTTCTCCATTTTAACTTGAGAGGAGGGAGACACGAAAGGTAGGACAGCGGGAAGAGAAGAGAACGCGAAAGGCAGGAACAAAAATGCAATGTTCGACATGGTGATTTATCCCCTCGGAGGCGACCTTTCGTAAATATATGTTCATATGCACTCTAAATGTTCAAACATATGCTCTCGAAATGTTCAAAAAGATTCTTAGGAAAACAAATTTGCCCCATGGCTCAGATCATCGGTGAGCATTGAATCGGAACATCATAGGATTTGAACTATCCTGAAACCATAAGAGGCTCACGAAGACGCTCCCCAGGAGAGAATTCACGTGCTTCACAAAACAAACTCTAGGTATGTATCCCCTCGGGGACCACCTTTCGTGATTAGAATTTCATATTCACTCTTTCTGAATGTTCAAGAGGGTTTCAACTACAGTATCCTGAAATCATGAGAGGCTCACGAAGACGTTCTCCAGGAGAGAATTGATTTTAGAGGGGGGGAGGGG